GGCCTGGAAGCAGAGCATTCTCAGTAATAATGGACTGCCAGAAGAACAAAGAAATCTGTCTTGGAAGATGTCGAGCCGGAATGCTCCTTGAAAGTGACGATGGTAAGACTTCATCTCATGTACTCTGGACATGTTGTCAGGAGGGACCAGTTTCTGGATATGGACATCATACTGGGTAAAGTGGAGGGTCAGCAAAATAAGGCAGGAGACCCCCAATGAGATGGATTGATACAGTGGCTGCAACCAATGAGCTCAAGCATAGCAACGGTTGTGAGGACAGTGCAGGACTGGACAGTGTTTTGTTCTGTTGTGCACGGGGTCACTATGAGTTGGAACCGACTCAATGGCACCTAACAACAACACTAATTGAGAACTTATTATGAACCAATCGCTGTGTTAAAGGCTCTATATGCATCATGTCTTCTAACCCTGGGCTACCCCCAGCAGGTTACAAAGAAGAAACTGAAGCTCAGGGAAACTAAGCTACTAAGTAGGCAAAGCTTGATTCAAACTCAGCTTTTTCTCTTCCTCCAAAGTCCAAAGAGCTTAACTACCATGCTCTGTGGACTCTCCACCTGATGAAAGGATACCATCCAGGCAAAGAAAAACCAGAAGTAAGTACAGGCATAGGGAAAAGAGGTATAGGGAGGGGAAGAGAGTGAGGGGAAGGCGAGAGTGGCTTTAGGAGAGGAAGTGAGGGCTCTGGATGACATGCACTTGGGCTCTGGCTCTGGGTCCAGGAGCCCTCTAGGGAGTGGGATTGAAGCAGGAAAATTGCTGGTGACTGCTACAGAAACAAACCACAAAATATGCAGAAACCATTTCCTCTCTCGAGGAAGATAAACAATAGATTCATAAACAAATTTTACAAAGCTGCTCAGCTATTTAAAGCATTCTGGTTGGAACTCATATCCTTTGTGAGGACTAAACCTAATGCTGAAGAAATAGTCCATTGGCAGTTACCTTGGGGAGAGGGAAGGTGGAAAGAAAGAGGAGGAGGGGGGATTTACTGCTTCTCAGTAAATCACCCTGTGATTTTAGACAGTTACATATTCTCTCTGAGCCTTGGTTCCTGCTTCTGTTAAAAAGAATTAGTAATTTATGCCCCATAGGGCTTTCATGGAGAAGAAATGGGATGTACTTCCTAGAAATATGATATACCAGATATCCTACTTAACTGTTTCAATGGAAACAATATGACAAACAAAAAATTCAATATAAAGATTATATATACATTTTTGAGCTGGTACAAAATGAAGGATTCTTCAAAGACCCAAAACAAGACAAAAGCAGGAACACCTTAAAAGGTAAACTAGAACCCAAACTGGGTTTTTCCTGTGGGTTTCGGCAGAACCCTAGAAATTCTAATTTTCCACCTTGAGAGCTACACAGGGTTAAGGAAAGAGAAGGGGGGAAGTCTAGGGGAAAAAGGGGGAGCAGATAATCTGTCATTTCAGGAACAGAGTACCCTAGGATCATCAAGAGGGCAGAACATGAGAGGAGTGAGGGATCTTGACCAGAAAAGCAGAGACAACAGAGATGAAGCGATACAGCAGCAGAGGGCAATAGGCCCATGGACTGAGAAAGGCAGTGTGCCTGCATGTAGGAAGCTGGCTTGCAAAATGTGCCCTTTGGACATGTAAACAAATATATTTTTTCAATGTGGTATGCATACATCAAAACAAAATATAAAGGTAGCAGAGGTAAATACTGTTAGTTGATGGTGCATGGAGGGGATTGTAATCATTGCAATGATTTGCTGAATGAATACAAAACTGATGAACTGCCCTGTAAAAACCTTCACTCACTCAATTCACAATAAAAGCTTTAATTTAAAAAAAAAAATGTACAGGAAGACCCCTCTACACAGCTGGGTCTCCAAATGGTTCCACCAGCAGTGACAGAAATAAATGCACAATACAGAAAAGATGGCAAGAAAATATGAAGTTCATGTTGGGCAGAATGGAGAAAATATGCCATACATGTAAATGTTTACCCATAACTGTACCTTGTATGTTAGCAGTCTCAATTCATGATACTTGCATGGCCAGAATATACATAAGAAGATAATTTAAAGTGATGTTTCTTTGGTAGTGTTCCCTCTCTCCCTTCCAGACACCTAACAGAAGTTAATGAAAAAACTCTCTGGAAAAATCAACTTCAATCTATACTTCAAATAATTCTCAAAGAAAATGAGCAACTCACAGACAACAGAAGGAAATAAGGCACTTTGAGTATACGAAGCAACAGATGGCAGAATCAGACCTTCAGAGACTTCATATTCTGCAAATACCAACATAAAATGTTAAGTTTCTTTGTCATTACTTCAATGTTTTAAATAAATAAAAAAAATTTAGTAAATATGAACAAGAAACAAGAGACCATAAAAATGACCAAACAGACTTGGAAAAAAAAATGTAACAGAACTTCTAGAAATGATATATAAAGGGAAAAAAAATCAATGAATGGATTAAACAGCATTTAAAACATAAGAGTACATTAGAGAACTGAAAGGTAAGATTTTTTAAAAAATTCAGAGTATGCCACAGAGACACAAAGAGGTATTTTTTAAAAAATTAAATAGAAGTTAAGTATAGAAATTAGAATAAGAAGATCTAACATAAGTCTAATTGGAGTTAAGAAAGCGAGATGAAAGACTGTGAAAGAGGCAATATTAAAAAAAATACAGCATGAGAACTTTTCAAAATTGCTGAAGGAGTAATTTTTAGCTGCAGGAACATTCCAGCAGGATTAAAGACAGAGAAAATCTACACAGTGAAACATGAAAATGTAGCTAAATAACACCAAATCTCTCGCCCCACCAAAACAAAAAATCAAATCACACAATATTGTTAATGTAACCAAAGAGACATCTTTGTCACTTATAAAGGAACATCAATTAAGACTGATGGCCAACTTCTCAACAGTAACATTCAAATTTAGAAGACCTAAGTGAAACTACCCAGTTATGCTACCTTTCCAAAACTGAGAACAGAATAAAGGCATTTTCAAACTACCAAAACCCAAAACAAACCAGAAAAAAACTAAGCGCAATTACCACCAGCTGACCCTAAATAAAGGATAACGCTAGAAGGGTTTTTTTTTTTGAGGAAGAAGGAAGTGATCTAGATGTAAGAAAGAGAAAAGATACTGATAAGTACGTGGGTAAATCTAAACAAATACTATATAAAACGATGATGTCTAACTTATAGGCAAAAAATAGGATAGAATGAAATCACAGGACAACAACAGTATGTAAGTTGGAAGAGATAGTGATTAGAATTAAACCAGTATATGCTTCTTGTATTGTTTGGGAGAAAAGCAAAGAACACTGGTATTTTAGATGTTGTTTTGTTTTTTTTAAAGAATACCTGTTATAAAATCTGGGGTAACTACTAAAGGAACAGATCTAAGAGCATATCATTTCCAAATAGGAAGCTGAAAAATGGAATGAGGAGAATAAAACATCTCAATCTAAAAGAAAAAGTTAAGAGTACATAATAAGATAGTCAAAATAAATTCTAACTCATCACTAAGATATACCAACTCTAAGCAACTGTGCACCAAGAAATACTGCCTTACCATATATCAACCCAAACTAAACAAAACAAAATATAACAAACCAAAAAGCAAGCTCAGCACCATAAGGAGAAATGAACAATCCCAGTGGGAGAGTTGAACACATCTCTTTCAATACTCACAGACAAAGAGCAGGAAAGGATGAATTATAGATGGCTTGGAAAGTATAAGGAACATACTTAATGCAATGGACATACATACAAATGGAATCAAAAACAGAGAACATACATTCTTTTCAAGCATTCATGGAACATCTAAAAAAAAGTTGAAAAGAGATAAAATACAAAAGAGAAACACACAGAAGTGGCACAATGTATGTTTCGAATGCACTTCAAGGATCCAAA